CCAATGGATGGCTGGCACTCTGCGTTGATCCATTCTTTATATTTAGGCCATAGAGACCCTCCAAGAATTTGTCTGTGAGAGAAGTTACCACATTTGGGCTCTGGCTGGAGGCTTCTCTGGAATTCCTGATAAACTAGGTCACCCAGATGGCAGGGGCCACAGATGGTGTTCTCAGAAGAGCTAAAACCCAAGGCCCGGCCGGCGCCACGGCTCACTAGGCTAATCCTCCACCTAGCGGCGCGGGCACACCGGGTTCTAGTCCCGGTCGGGGCGCCGGATTCTGTCCCGATTGCCCTCTTCCAGGCCAGCTCTCTGCTGTGGCCAGAGAGTGCAGTGGAGGATGGCCCAAGTGCTTGGGCCCTGCACCCCATGGGAGACCAGGAGAAGCACCTGGCTCCTGCCTTGGGATCAGCACGGTGCGCCAGTCACAGCGCGCCAGCCGTGGCGGCCATTGGAGGGTGAACCAACGGCAAAGGAAGACCTTTCTCTCTGTCTCTCTCTCTCACTATCCACTCTGCCTGTAAAAAAAAAAAAAAAAAGAATAGTGCTTGGTGTAAGGCCTGGAGCCCGCACAAATTCTGAAACAGCGGCGTTTCTCAGGTGGGAGGTAGGTCCTGCATGAAGTTGTCAGGTGTGGAGGAGGAAAATGGAGGGCGCCAGGTTTAACTTGAACTCTTGGTGGGCTGTGAGCAGCCCGTAGCCTGCTCCGTCCAGTGCAGGGATGGGATATACTTACTCTGGGAACGCCGTGGCTGCTGCGGTTTAACTGGGCAGCCTGTGTTTTCCCTGGGGATTTTATCCAAGGGCTTCTCTGACAGTCCCGGCCTCGCAGGCTCTCCCTGGAGGCCCCCCTGTAACGGATTCCGGCCTCTCTGCATTTAGCAAGGACTTCTGAGCACCAGGCTCCCCAGTAAGCAAGGTCCAGAGAGGGGTGGGCTGGAGCAGGGCCAGAACCCAAGTCTGGGGCCCAGAGCCAGGCGGCAGCTTCAAGCCCACAGGGAGCAATGCGGATGCTTCTGCCGCTCAGAGGTCACCCGCAAAACCCACCGCCCAGAAGCCTCGCATCCCACCTGCGGCTGGGCCAGGAGGCCGCCGGCCATGCGGGCCGGCCTGGACCCAAGCCTGGACCCAAGGGGGCCCCGGGTGTCGGCAGCAAGCCCACCACACAGAACCCCACGAACAACGTCCCTTCTCTCTCCTTCCCCTCCTCACTGTGCAAGAAACACCCGCCCAGCCCTCGTCTGGAGGCTTTGCGATAGAGATGTCCTCTGACCCTGCTCTGACACGGGGGAGGCTTCTGTGAGCTGCACCCCACCCCCCGCAGTGACAGAGGGGCCCCGGGGGCTGGCCCACTCCTCCTCGGAGCAGCTCTGCTCCCTGGGGGCAGGCGGAGGCTGCGTGGGTGGACATGGCCCTGCAGGCCCCGGGTCAGGGAGGGGGCACTCCATCTGACTCGCTCCACCAGCTTGTGGGCAAAATGAGTGCGAGGTTCGGCTTTCGATTGTACCTCTCGTGTAGTATTGCTAGGTCGAATATCCCTTACCTGAGACGCTTGGGAGCAGGATTCCCACACACTGTGAGACAGCAGGGGCGGGGACCCAAGTCCAAACCCAGAATTCTTTTCGCTTTATGGACACCTTGGACATGTAGTTGAAGGTCGCTTTATGCAATTACTCTCTACTTGCTTGAGAGACAGAGACACACAGAGCTCCCATCTAATGGTTCACTCCCCAAATGCCCACAACAGTCAGGGCTGAGACAGGTTGAAGCCAGGAGCCAGGAGCTTCCTCCAGGTCTGCTAAGTGGGTGGCAGGGACCCATGTATTTGAGCCACTCTCTGCTGCCTTCCAGGGTGCATGCAACAGGAAGCTGGATTGGAAGCAGAGGTGGGGCTCAGTGCCGGTCACTCTGATTGCCTGGAATGGCCAGGGCTGGGCCAGGTGACCTCAGTCCAGGTCTCCCATGTGGATGCAGGGACCCAGCTCCTGAGCCATCACCGCAGCCTCCAGGGTCCCTATCAGCGGGAAGCTGGAGTCAGGAGCGGACACGAGGCGCTGACCCTGGTACTCCAGTGCAGGGATGTGCATCCTAACCGGCATCTTCACTCCTGGGCCAGACGCCTTGCCCCCTGTAGGATCATGCCTAGTGCACCTGCACTTTGCCTGCAGTTGGTCACACGAAGTCAAGTGTGGAAGTTTCCACGCGTGGCATCACATTGGTGCTCCATTCAGATGTGGGAGCATTTTGGATTCGGGGCTCTCAGCCTGTGTGAACTGTTGTTACAGTCTCATTTGTGTTTGTCAGTCTATTTATATTCACATGGTGTGTTATAATATGTACCTGTATAAATGTGCCACTGGAGGGATTTGCATGCTATGAGCACCGCCCAGTCGCCAGCAGCCCCCAGCAAGGCATGGGGCCCAGCGCCCCCTCGTGGCCACTTTCAGTCACTACACCCTGGAACATAACTGCTCCTCGGAGCACAAGCCCATCTCAGGTCGCCCTTCTCAGCTGAGCCAGGTGATCAGGGGCCGCTTGTTGACTTCTCAGCGTGGATGAAGCCTGGGACCACCTCACAGTAGCCATCAAGCACCCTTGTGCACCTCCCTGTGCTCCAGGGCCCAGCATGGAGTCTGACCCTGGAGCCAGGGAGGCTATGTGAGGGTAGGATGCATCCACACTCCATCCAGACACACCTGGCTCCACCACGCATCGGTGCTGTGGCCGTAATCACTGCTTACCCATCTCTGCAATGGGTATATGAGGGCACGTTCATGGAGGGGCAGGTGTGGTGGCAAAGTGGGTTAAGCCACTGATTGGAGGGCCTGATCCCCAATCGGAGTGACTGGCACTGAGCCCCACCTCTGCTTCCAATCCAGCTTCCTGTTGCATGCACCCTGGAAGGCAGCAGAGAGTGGCTCAAATACATGGGTCCCTGCCACCCACTTAGCAGACCTGGAGGAAGCTCCTGGCTCCTGGCTTCAACCTGTCTCAGCCCTGACTGTTGTGGGCATTTGGGGAGTGGACAAGTGGACAGAGCTCTCCCCTTCCCTCTTCTCCCACTCCCTCTCCCACTCTATTGTCACACCTTTCAAAGACGTAAAAACAAGCTTTTTTAAGTTCACGGGGAAAATGGGATGAGAAGATAAGTTTGGGAGCAGATGCTACAGTTGGGCAGGTTAAGCTGCCGCTTGGGGTGGCCTTATCCCAGAGAGGAGTGCCAGCTCGAGTCTCCTCCTCCACTCTGATCCAGGCTCGCGCTGACGCACCCGGGAGTTAGTTGGTAGAAGCTGGCCCTCGCACTTGGGTTCCCACCACACACGCGAGAGACCTAGAGGGAGTTTCTGACCCAGACCTGGCTGTTTCAGGCATTTGGGGAGTGAACCAGCGGGAAGGAGATTCTCTCTCTCTCCTCCCTCCCTCCCTCCCTCCTTCTGCCTTTCAAATAAATAAATCTTTTCGAAGGAGATAAGTTGAGCAGAAAAGCCTCTTGACCTCGATCCGCAGCTTTTTCAGGATGGCCTTTCTCGTGAGCGCTCTGTCATGCCCTCGGTGGGACGCTGAGGCCGGGAAGAGCGCGGTTTCCTGTCTCCAGCTCTCCGCCTGCCCGCCGCAGGGCTCCGGCTGATGGCTGCAGGTCTTGGCAGATGCACACCCATCGAGGGCGTTGGCTGCGCCATGCTCCCACACCCAGGTCCCAGGCAGGACAAACATCTGTTATGGGCCACACAAGGGCCAGCGCCAGCCCTGGGGCTTCCTGCACACCCGTGTTCTCGCGGGAACTTGGGCTGCTGGGCGGGGAGTAGGGAGGGGCCTTCTGGATGCTGGGTCCTGGGTCACTGCCCCCTCCCCGTCCACGCGGGAGTGCTGGCAGCAGATACAGGAAGATCTGTTGCCGGGGCACCGATTAAAACCCAGCGAGACTTTGAGGTCCAATTAGGAGTCTTCATTAGCCGGCTGGCCACTAACTTTCCCACAGAGCAAGTCCGGGGAAGACGGCAGCGAGTTGCAGTAGTCAGGGCGGGGTGTGGGGGGAGTTTTAAAGACAAAACCACATTCTGTTATCCGCAGTTAATCGTGCGGGCAAGGTGAGCAGGAGGGAGCAGTCAGCCAATCAGCAATCAACACCTATCCCCTCCTGACGTCAGTGGCTGGCGCCAGGTGTCCCGCATCTGATGCCCTCCGGTACCGGTACCGACTGTCTCCTTGATGTTCAATCAACACAACCCGCACGCCTTTACCTTACTTTTACTGGCTTGAGGTTTTAAATTTTTAGAACGCCCCACCTTGTCACAGTTCCAATCCCAAGATGCAGCAAGCCAGCATCCTCACGTGTGCGGCTCTGGCGGGGGGTGGAGGGGAGTCGGAACCCCCCAGGGAAGGGGGAGTCTGAGCTCTCTGTGCGCCAGGAGCTGTAAGGTGCTCGGGAATTGTGTACCCGGAGATCCGCTGTAAGAGGTGTGTACACCCGGAGACACAAATCCAAACGGTGTGCACGGAGACCTGTTTATGATGGAGGGGGGCTGGTTCCTAAGCCTCCAACCCTAGGGAAATGGGTAGAGTACGGCCCGCCTCCGTGAGTGGATTCTGTGCAGCTGTTGCGATGGAACGCTGGGCAATGTGCTGAGTTTGGGGAGCCACACGTCTGCGTCGTCTCCTCTCACGCACACTCACGCACTCAGAGGCTCTGTCAGCAAGCCCACGGTGCTGATGCCCCACGCACCCCGTGCTGAGCAGTGTGAGTTATGTTTGGAGTCCCAAAGCCATCAGGGCATTGGACAGGGCCTGGCGGGGTGGGGCGGGGGCTGTGCGTGTCCATGAGCTACCAGCCAGCTCAAGGTGGGCACAAGGATGACAGCGTCCCCTTCAAGAGACAGCTGTGGATCCTGCCGTTTATCCACAGAAATGCTTTGTCAAATGTGTTGCGACAAAGCCACGTTGTGAGGTGGCCGGGAGAGGCCGGCGGGTCCGGGGCTCATCTTCTCTGTCTTCCTTCCCAGCTGCCCATGATGGGAGGGGCGTTCATGGACTCACCCAATGAGGACTTCAGCACCGAGTACTCCCTGTTCAACTCCTCGGCCAACGTCCACGCGGCCGCCAACGGCCAGGGCCAGCCGGACGAGCCCCCGCGGTCCTCCAACGACGCCGTCCTGCTGTGGATCGCCATCATCGCCACGCTGGGCAACATCGTGGTGGTGGGCGTGGTGTACGCCTTCACCTTCTGACGGAGTGCGGCCGTGGCTGCGCCTGGCACTTCCTGATGCCAGGGCTGAGCGTTCCGGCCATGCACGCACAGCCCCGTTGGGTGCAGCGGTCTCCAGGCGTCCGGAATTTCTCTGGTTTCAAAGAGTCCCTGCTGTGGCCGAGCTGGTTCAGAAAACATGGGGACCTGGGCTTCGGGCTCCCAGAGGTCTGACCGGGCAGGGGCTGCAAGGAGCAGGTGGTCAGGGAAGCTTTGCCGCAGCATCCCCAGGCCACGAGGCCGGGGTCCTGCAGGACAGACGAGGCTGGGTCGGTGCAGACTTCTCAGACCCACTGTGTGGGGGCCGGGGCAGGGCGGCCCTCAGAATCCTGAGCTCGCACCCTGGTCTTGGATTCGCCATCTGCCCCTTGGCATTGTTCATGGCCGTCTTGACTGTCCCAGTTCCACTTAGAAATGGTACCTTTGTCCCCAGACGCCTGGCCTCTCACACGACCCAAGCCCGTCAGGAGCTGCAGGCTAAGGCAAGAGGAAATCCGGGGCTGCCAGGGCTTCCCCCTGCCCTACTCAGTGTCACGACCATCATGGGGTTTTAGAGATGAAGCAGACGCGTGTCCGCGGAGGGCATGGAGAGGGGAGGGGGACAGGCTCTGCTGTGGCCCGGGCCAGCATGTTTCCTAACTGTGCACCCAGCACTCCCTCGGCCTGGCGGAGCATGCCCGGGGGCAAGCTGGGGCCTCTGCAGCCACAGGGGGCCTTGAAGCTGGTGCGAGGTGGGCAGTTCGTTCACGCGCCTGGATTCCAGCCTCGGGGTGCAGCCGTGCACACTCCCGCGGGTGTGAGCGTCTCCCCTGAGCCAGCTCCCTCAATTTCTGACAAATCCATGCTGGGGGTCCTGAGTTGAGATGCAGGGTGGGGGGACGGGACTGGGAGGCAGCCACGGCTTCCACCCCAAGAGGGCAGACGAGGAGGGGAAGGCCCCTGAGAGCCGTGCACCTGCAGCCCCCGTCTGCCTCCTTGCTCCTGCCCACGCCGTTTAAGAGATGCACACATCTGCCTCTGTGGCGAGGAACCTAAAAGGCGGGTGCAGAGGCCCTCCTGTGTGTCCGGGGCAGGGACAGGAAAGCCGGGCTTGGCACTGTGCTCTCAGGAGACACGCGTGTCCCTGATGACCGAGGTGGCTGCAGTCTCTGGAGCTGCCCTAATGACGGTATTGCCGCCTGGGCCGCCAGCCCTCGTTGGCCACGTCTGACCCTGCGGTCCCACATCCATCTACAAACGCTTCTGTTCCAACAGAGGCCGAGAGAGCTGGGGAGAACCAGCCCGAGGGCTGCAGCAGGGACAAGGGACGTGGGGCCAGCTGCCCGGACACCTGGATCCTGGCCAGGGCAGGAGGCTGCCTGGGGGTTAGCGATGGAGCGCGCCGGGGCTCATGCAGGTGCGCCCTGGCTGCTTCCCCGCAGGCCCCACCTCCAAACCCCAGCTGGGCCTTTCTTGCATGGACGCCTCCGTGGAGAAGCCGGGGCCAGGGCAGAGGCCGGGGGATGCTTGCTGCCTGGTGGGGGTCACTCCAGTTCCCTGATTCTTCACCTCCTGCCCCAGCATCACAGGGGAGCCTGCAGCCCCGTGCAGAGTTGGGTGGCGGCCCCGTTCTGCAGGCGGCCCGGGGGGATGGTGTTGGGAGAGTGGTGTCTGCCAGCCGTGGTGGAGGGAGAGGAGAGGAAGTGTCCGGGTCTGGAAGGGGCTCCGGCGTCCAACCCCAGTCCAGCTGCTGTCTGTCGCTTCCCAGCGGCAGAGCCGTGGACGGCCAGGCGTGCTGGAGGCCGGGGGCACTGCCTCACGCAGATGGCCAAGGCTTGCTCGGGGCCACCTGGTCTTGGTCTGCTGTAGTCTCCTTATCTGCTTTTCCACCCTAACGGTGAGGAGGGCTGTGCGTGTCGGAGTCCAGTGCAGGAGTGAGAGATGGAGAGGCCCGGCCTCGGTGCCTGCCCGCGTGCTCCGGCGCCCTCAGCCCCTGCCCCTGCACGCGGACCCCCGAGGCCTGCGGTTCTGCCCGGTGCAGCCCTGAGAGACCAGTTTCCTCAGAGCCAGGAGCCCCCCTAGGGGCCCCATGTGGAGGGGGTCCCGGAAGTGCTGAGTCAGGGCGGGGGACAGCCCTGCTGTGTCAGCCGGCTACAGCCAGGGACAGGGACCCTCCTGTCTGGAACCACAGCCAGGGGCCCCATTCTGGTTTCTCCCTGTGCGTCAGGCTCAGAGCCCCTGTGACCTGCTGAGTCAGTGCTGAGGAAGGAAGGGGCCTGCCCCCCCCTTCACGTTCTGGAATGTTCTCGTGCTTGCCCCTGCGCACCCCTGCATTTCTCCTCTGTGAGCCAGGAGGGTCCCAGCCTGGGCTCCTGCCCACCCGCGGGGCGGGAGTGTGCTGCTGTCACACAAGGCCTCCGAGACGCCTCGCCTGGACGCCTGGCAGGGCCAGCGCCCCCTCCTGCCCTGGGCTGTCACTGCTGCCCCTCCCCCTTTCCATGAAGTCAAGGTTAAGAATGAGTGCAGCTCCTCTCCCACTGTGCCCTCCCCCGACAGGACCCCCAGCTGGCTGGGAGGGGCATGGAGAGGAGGGCCAGCACCACGCAGCTGGGCGTGCACCAGGCCATGGGCCAGCCTGTTTCAACCGAAGGCCTGCGTGCCCGACGGGTCTCGTTAGTCCAGAGCCTGGAGACCCTCAGCCACAGCAGCCTGCGGCTGGCACTGCTGCCTGGTGCCCCCTGCCTCAGCAGTGTGATAATATCGTCAGGAATTATTGTCACTGTTCCTGGTGTTGTGTGCTGGATCTTATCACATGTAATTCTCAGATCGCCTGTAGGGGGCAGGAGTGAGCACACAGTGAGGCGTCCTGTTTGTTGAGAAAACTCAGGCCAGGCCATGTGCCCAAGAGCCCACAGCTCCCAGGAGCTGCAGTTCCGACCCAGGCTTGTTGGCTCCACGAGTCACCTGGTTGCCCTGTGTCTCTCCGTGGTGGGGTGGGGTGGGGGCCTCTGGGGCTAGGGCTGAGGTTTGGCCCCGGGGAGCCTGTGGCCAGGTTGCCCATTACAGTGAGCGTGGAAAGTGGCTGGTGGCACTGCACGCATCCTGCCTAGAGCCACGGATGCTCACAGCGGTAAGCACTCCCCAGGGCTTCCCCGGGGAGAGAAGCCGAGGGCACCCAGAGATAGTGGCGAGCTGGTGAGTTCCAGGCATCGGGCCCAGGGCTCCATGTCCCAGGGCATGCGTGGCTCCAGGAAGCAGAGGGACCCCCTCATGAGCAGCTCAGCCCTGGGATGGAAGTGGGTTCCCAGCCAGCTGTCGCTAGCTCCCTTTGCTGCTGTCCCAAAAGCAAGTCCTGGGGGTGGGCTCAGCTGCTGGGACAGGGAGCCCAGGGAGTGGCCTGAGGGGGCCAAGGGGCTCTGGATGGCCCGTATGCACCTGTCGCAACCTCTCCTGCCCAGCCCTGACCATGGTCACTCTGAGAGCGATGGGGGGAGGGTGGGGTGGGGGCTGGGTCCCGAGATGGCAGGAAGAACAGGGTGGGGGGCGGCCTCTCTGTGAAGCTGGGGGCCAGGTTGACAGCACCGCCCCACCTCCTGGTGCAGCCGTCCGGGACTGGAGTGGGCGCTTAACGTCTTTCTTTAGGGGATGGGCCGGGATGGGGGGAGATGGAGGAGAAAGCCATGTAAAGTGTGGTTATCACAGAAGAAAGAAGGACCCAGCGTGAGAAGATGGTGCCGTCGTAAGCACCGCAGAACGGGCGGAGGTACAGAGAATCGACCGCATGGACAGGAGTGAAGTCCTGAGCCACCGTGAACGCCACCTGTTTTCCTATCAGGAGATAAGAGCTGGGGGCGGGGACAGCCGCCACGGCAGATGCTGGCCTTGGGACCCCCGCGGTGGCGACGGCCCCTCCAAACACGCTTCTGTTCATCCTCTGTCTTGGCTCCTTTTCCAAGCTGGCTTCCGGCCTCCCTGAGGAGGTCTGAGACCTGTCCTGCCCGGCACATCTGTAGAGCGCTTAGGGGATCCCAGGGCCCCCGTGCACCGAGGACCCCGCCGCGTGGCTGAGCCCCCGCGCACCAGCAGTCTCTCTGCCAGCGTCAATGAACCAGAGAATCGCTCATCCGAGTTCAAGCGCGGTCGTCAATGCGGATGCTTCTGATCCGGCCGCTGCCGGCTGGGAGGAAGGGCGCGCTGGAGGAAACTGAGGCACCAAGCAGTCCTGGAGCTTGGCCAGGGGTCTGGCAGGGGGCAGCGGGGTCTCGAGCCCGAGGATCCCGCCTGCAGCATGTCTGGTGACTCCGCAGAGCTAGCTGTCCTCTGCTGTGGACAGTTTTGCTCCCCCCCTGGGGCAGAGATGGTTTTGGTCGTCGCAACTTGGGGCAGGAGGGGCCGGATCCTAGCATCCTGTGGGTAGAGGCCATGAGGTTGATAGCAACCACAGCCCCCCATGATGGAGAATCACCCAGCCTCAAGATGGCAGCTGTGCCAAGCTCGGGACCCCTCCACCAGACCAGACCCACCCTGATTCCAAATCCGCGGGAGTTTTCCAACCCCCTCCTCCCTCCTACATCAAAGCTCTTCTGAGCAGCCGCAGCGGCCGTGGGCGCTGCCCCAGGTTCAGATCTTTCCGGCTGAGGGCAGCTGTCTGGAGTGCCCGCGAGTGGGGCTGGTGCTTTGGAAACCGAGCAACCATTCCCAAGCCGTGGGCTTTCACGGGGTCCCCAGGCTGGGGGGAGAGAGCCCTAGTGGGTGCTGGGAGGCTGAGGCTGTGTGTGTCCCAGCAGTGGCTTTGTCTCTCTGGGCCCTCCGGGACCTGACCCTCCCTGGGGCCTCTGAGAGGCGTGGCCTGGCAGAGCTTAGGGATGGGGTGGTGCAGGGGATGGGGCTGCTGACCACCCTGGGAGGAGCCGCATCTCCTCTTATTTCTGACCCTTTACCGCGGCCCCGAGAGTGTGTGGCTGCTTTAAACTTGGACCGAAGAAGCCGTATTTATCCTGCAGCTTGCGTCTGCCGATGGCGACGTCTCCCGGCCAGAGGATCGGCCATGTCTGGTCGGCCATGTCTGCGTCTTACTCGTGTTTTTGTACTCGACTTGTACATGTGAGCACTTTACTGCCGCCTGGACACGAATTTTAACTGTTCTCGTCCTTTGCTACTCCAGCGCCTGGGGTTGCCGTGAGGTCACTGACTTTTACTACAGGGAAAAGGCTCTTTCTTAATGTAAGATTTCCATGCACTCTTTTGATTAAAATTACCCAACTTTCAAAGATGTAAAAATGTGGCTGTGAAATCTTTGTTAGTATTGGTGAAGCGGATGTTGTTTTCTATTAGGATAATTACAAATAAAAAAAAGAAAGAAACGTTGCCTGCTCCGCATCTTGTCCCCATGGGTGCCCCGTGTGAACGGTGCGATCTTTAAGGCTCTCTGCTTGGGAGTCCGTCCCCTCTGAGGCAGGGGTCCCCTCCCGGACGCATGCAGTCGGCACACCTGTGTTGACCCTCCCAGGAGCTCCACCCTCTGCCCACCTGCTCTGCCCGCCATCTGAGCCATCGGAGTGTGAAGTTTGCTTACTCAACTTTTCAATTTTTAAAAAAATGTGTTATTTGCGAGGCAGAGAGAGAGAGGGCACACCTAGCCCTGGTTCACTGCCCAGGAGCCGAAGCCAGGAGTGCGATCCCGGTCTCACCTAGGGGGGCAGGGACTCGGTGACTGGAGCCATCACTGCTGCTCTCGGGCTCTGTATTAGCAGGAAGCTGGGGCCTGGTCCCAGAAGCTGGGGTCAAACCCACCTGCAAGTCTCTGAACTGGCATCTTAGCCAGGCCCAAAATCTGCCTTGTAAGCAGTGTTTTATCCCCAGCACCTGGCACAGTTCAGAGCCAGCACCCAACAGTCTGCAGCTGCGGCATGCATTCCCTAATGACAGTGAGCACCTGGGGACAGGAGCTTCTTCTGGGTCTCCCACGTGGCTGCAGGGGCCCAAGCACTTGGGCCGTCCTCTGCTGCTTTCCCAGGCGCATTAGAAGGGAGCTGGTTCAGAGGTGGAGCAGCCGGGACTCGAACCGGCGCCGATATGTGATGCCAACATCACAGGCGGTGGCTTTACCCCTACGCCACAGCGCCGGCCCTGGTTCCGAGCTCTTTACCTGCAAATTACACGCAGCAACTCGATGCAGGAGGCACTGTGATTGCCTCCACTTTGCAAATGAGGAGACAGAGGCGTGCAGAGGTTCCTGCCGAGGCCAAGGGCTGGGACCCTGATTCCGGGTCAGTCCTGGGCTTAGGCATCTGGAGGGATTGCTGCGTCCTCTGTGGGTGACTTTGGAACCCTGAGGAGCCTAGGCTAGCCCCCTGGATATGGGGAGACCACAGCCTGAGCAACCCCAGTCTGACAGCTGCACGACAGGTAGGGGGACCACCGAGGCTGGGGGGCGGGGAGGGGCTTGTGAAGAAGGAGCTGTGCTTTTTGTCTCGGGCTGTATGGGGCTCCCTAGGCAGCAAGCAAAGCCAAAAGCATCACTGGAGGACTGCCTGGAGGAGGCAAGACTCAGCTGTGCCTGGAGACTGCAGAGGCTGGGAGCGCAGGCCTGGAGGTCAAGGCCTAGTGGGGATAAAGCCAGCGGGAGGGGCCTCGAATGTCAGTGTAGGGAGCCTCGGTGGGCCACGGCTGTCGCCAGCTGCCCCTAGTTGGGCTGGTGCTCAGAGTCGAGGGGGGCACGGTGTCCGGCGGAGGGCGACCACAAGGGAACCGGGAAGAGACCCCTCGATCGCGCCTCCCAAGCCCGCCCCTTCACTGTCTTCCCTTGCGCAGCGGTTGGCGCTTCCGCCCAACCATGGCCACGCCCTTGCCCCGCCCCCCCATCCTGTACCGGTGAAGACGGCCACGTGCCGGTGCCGGAGGTGGACGAGCATTGTCGTAAAACAGGAGAAGGCTGCGGCCAGGAGCTTCCAGAAAAGACGACGGCGACCCCAGGCCAATGCTCAATGCTGAGCTGCAGCCAGCGCAGTGCACGCCGGGAAATCCCCTCTAGTCGCCCCGTGAGATGTGCACGGAACTCTGGCGTGGAACCAGAGAACGTAAGTGGGCGAGTGTCATTGACCATGCGTCAATGGCATCATCACAACCCAGCGTGAACAGCACCCCTCTGCAAAGCGACCTCACGGCCGTCCCGTGTCACCCCAGTGTGAACAGCGCCCCTCTGCAAAGCGACCTCACAGCCCCGTCCCGTGTCACCCCAGTGTGAACAGCGCCCCTCTGCAAAGCGACCTCACGCCCGTCCCAGGTCCCCCCCCCCCCCCAGTTGTTCCCAGACAACCATGCATTGGATTTCCATTCCTGTAGCTAAAGCTTCCTGGAATCTCACGCCATTAGAATCAGTGTCTTCTCTTTTTCTTACAATTGTGGTTTGGTTTGTATCTGCAGCCGCTTGTATGCTGTTTGTTCCCTGTGGCTGTGGCTCGTGGCTTTGGGATGGGAGACACAGACACGGGGTCCAGGCAGAATGTCGGGCTGGGATGCCGGGTATGTGAAGGAAGGCTGTTCAGACACCCCCGGCACCCTCTTTTGTCTGGAGTGTTGCTGGGGTGCTCCCAGGGGACAAGCCTGCCTCCCCTCTAGCTGTGCACCCCACAGGGCAAAGCCCTCCCTGCTCACGGTGCCTGGCCAGGGGTGGCACGGGGCCCTCTTCCAACTAAGAGGGAGTAAGTGAATGAGAGGGGCTGGGTGAAAATCAGGCTCCCCGGGGGCCTTCTGGGATGGCTCAGTCCTCAGCCGCCCGTGGGCTGGGGGCAGAGGCGGGCAGGTGGCTGTGGCGGGGCTGGCCTGTTTACACAGCTGCCCACTCACTTCCCATGGTCTTCAACCCTCTCCGGGGATTTTCCGTTGCTGGCTCATTGCTGGGGCTTCTGCCAAGCGCTGGCTTCTAACAGAGCAGCCGGGTCGGCCCCACCATTCGGATTTGTGCAGGCCTGGCTGCCGCGGCCGTTTTCCCAAACAGCACAGGTGGCATTAATGACCCAGGCACCCAACACTTGCATGGGGCCGCCCTGGCATCTGCAAGCCAGGCACACACAAGCCCCCCGCCCAACCGTCGCCCAAACGCCAGCACCGGGGGCAGGGAACCCACTCTTCACCAGCAGGGACGACAGCGCCTGCGTGGGGGGCCCTGAGCACCTCCCCCGGCCAGAAGGGCATCCGCTTGTTGTCCAGTAAGCAGTGACTGAGCCCTGCCCACCAGCCAGGTGCTGTTCTGGATGCCAAGGTGTTGCTTTTTTTTTTTTTTTAAGTTTTCATTTATGTATGTTTGTTTATTTGGAAGAGCAACAGAGAAAGAGAGAGACAGAGATCTTTCACCCACTGGCTCCCTCTCCAAATGCTCACGGCAGCCCCGGCTGGGCCCGGCCAAAGCCAGGAGCCCAGAACTCTGTCTGCATCTCCCGCACCAATGGCCGGCCTCACCTGCTGCCTCCCTGGTGCACACCAGCAGGAAGCCGGATCAGGGGTGGAGCCGAGACTCGAGCCTGGTGTTTGGAAATGGGATGTGAGCATCTCAACTGCCACACCAAGGCCCGCCTCTGGACCCCAGATACAGGGAATGAAAGGAAGCTCCTCCCACCCCCGCCTCTGATGGCGACAGTCGACAGGAAACAGAACGCCCACGCATGGGGGGGCGCAAGTTCCAGGGTGACGCGAAGTGGGTGCAGTGGGGGGCGGGGAGCAGAGGATGCCAGGTGGCAGTGTTTCCCGTGAGGGTGACAGTCGGAGAGGTGACCGATGGGGCTGGCCACCCTCAGGCGCTAGAGGGAGAATTTTGCATCCAGTTCTTACAAAATGTTGCCTGGTCCCGGAAGCGTCTTTGGAAACAGCTTCTTTCTTTCTCTTCCTTTCTTTCTCTCTTTCTTTCTTTCTTTCTTTCTTTCTTTCTTTCTTTCTTTCTTTCTTTCTTTCTTTCTTTCTTTCTTTCTTTCTCTCTCTTTCTCTCTCTCTCCTTCCTTCCTTCTTCCTTCCTTCCTTCCTTCCTTCCTTCCTTCCTTCCTTCCTTCCTTCCTTCCTTCCTTCCTTCCTTTCTTTCTTTCTTTCTTTCTTTCTTTCTTTCTTTCTTTCTTTCTTTCTTTCTCAGCTGGACAGACAGGAACACAGCCTGCTTCCTGGCCTGGAGACGCTCAGGGCCCAGCCCCCGGGCTGCTCTCTGCTTCTTCTCCCTGGGGAGGGCAGACCTGCAGTGCCGGGGACCCCATCTCCTGCAGGAGCCGGGTTCAGCTGCCAGCTTACCAGGAGGACACGTGCTGGGCTTTTTGGCCCTCTGATGTAGCAGCCAATATTCTTTGGGGGAGCCACACCCCTCGGCCTGGAACTGCCCACGCAGGCTCGGTGGCCGAAGGTGCTATGACCGTGGTGATGTGTGAAGGGTGGGCTCATGCCTGGCTCTGCCCTGGTCAGCCGTGGTGTCCCCAACCCTCCAGAGTCCGGTGACTGGGTCAGGGACAACGTGAGCCAAGCAGGTGCAAGCGGAACAGAGGCACTGGCTGAGCGGGCACACCGGGACGTGGTATGTGCATGGAAGACTTTGCCCACCAGCATTCGCACCTCCTGGGTCCCCCTCTTCAGACTCACCCCTGACGCTCTGCCCCTCCAAACTCTGCCACCATTTTCCAGCAAACCAGTTCCAAAGACCCCTCCACACCCCGAGCTGTGGTTAATGGTGACGCCCCTGGTGCTCGGCCCCAGTGCTCTGTGTTAGGCAGCTTAGCTTGCTACAACCAAGTGCCTGAGAGCAGCTCCTTATAAAGGGAAAGTGTCCCTGGGGCTCAAGGTTCTGGAGGTTCCCAGTCCAAGATCTGGCCACACCATTTGCGTGGACGGCAGCCCACATGCACGGGGGGTGGGGGGGGGGGTCACTCGGTGAGCCAGGAAGCAGAGGCAGGCAGGGAGTTTGCACATCCTCCCTGTACGGAGCAGCCACGGTTCAGTCACGGGGCCCGATCCAAGCTAATGGCTGCCCCGGCCCTGCTGTCAGACACCGTGATTGGAGTAAGTTCCATCCTTTAGGCCACGAGCAGCAGACTCTGGGGACCAAGCCCTGACACATGGGGCCTTGGGGACACCAGCTGTTATCCACACACAAAGCTCCTGGCCAAGGCTTCCTTATTCCCACTCAAGCCCCCTCCTCCCAGGGTGCTTAGGGCCTCTTTTGCTTTGGGGAGAGGGGAGGGGGCAGGAGCACTTCTGGGTGACGGTGAAAATGTGGTGTGACCAATGTCCCTTGGGAGTCTGGGCATGAGCAGCTGCTGGAAGCCGAGTCAGAGGCGGGATCCTTGATGGGGGCACTTGGAGCCCTGAGCCCCTGGCTCCCTTTTACCCC